CTCTTTCCTGCCTATGCAGGGGGTCGGACTCAATGATCTATTGCGGTCCCTTCCGACCCTAACATCTATGAATCTATGAAACTTTCTGCTTCGTATCTTAAAAATGGGTTTGTCTTGAAATGTTCACGAGCAGGTTGGACAGACACTTGGCTGATTTAGTTAGAAACCTGCCTGAAGAATCTTGCCTTGAGTTAGGGTGCTTGACTAGGTGAGCTCGTGAGATCCCTTCCAGCCCTCCGTTCCTGTGACCCTATAAATGAGGCCCCATGTACCCTTTGATGCCTTCTGCAGGTAGGAATAGTTTCCTGAGTAGCTCAAAGTCTCCTAGAAGATCTCAAAACAACCTAAATGAAGTCCTGCTCTCATAGTACCTCATTGTGCTTAAGGCACTGAGGACCTCAACCTGGCTTGAGGTTGGACCTTTGTGTGGTGACTTGCCAGGCTTTGTATTTTTGTGCAGGTCTCTGTAACACGTCTATACTTTCAGATTTTTGTGTGCATCTCCTTGCTATCACTGGAAGCAAAAATATAACTTTCTACAGGCAAGCTTAGGAAGTGTGGTCAGTTCTGAACTTGGTCAGTATATTTATATGGTGACAGCCCTCTCTGTCATTCTCTGCTGCTGCTTCTCACCTCTTCTTCATATGCATCAGGTTCCTGGGTTGCCATTTGCAGAATCATTTAGCTCTCTCTCTCAAGAGGAAGAACAGAGGACATCATGACTGTAACTCCTAGATGATACCACAGGACAAATGATAAATGAGGGGGATGAGATGGAAGCTGGAAGACAGATTGATTGGTGTGCACCATGCGGGCATTTTTCTCTCTCTTTATTTAACCCGGTGCCCAGCGAAGAGTGCGATGGACATAAAGACCTGTCTGGTTAACTTCTCTCAGCCAAATTGTAACTGGGTTTTAACACAGTTTTGCTTGTCTTGTGAACGCATTATCTACTTACAGCCTCCAATCAGCTTAGAAAAGCTCAGCTGCTTTATGCCGAGGTGATGTTTGTGGCAGCTTTCAGCTGCATTGGCTGGCAGTGGTCTGGGCCTCAGAAATCAGGGCCGTTGTGGGAGTGCTTGGACTGTGTGTGTTGAAATTCGGTAGTATTTCTCATGAATAGGGAGGGGTCAGGGACATTTTTTCCTCCCCATGACTTTAGTGAAGGGCAGTGGCTTTTACCTCATTTGTTTGGAAATCCTTATTCCTAGGATTGACTTGATGCCAAATTTGTTGCCTAAGGGCCTTGTCCCTTTCCTATTTTCTTCTGCTCATCCTTTGTCTTCTGCTATGACTCCTCCTTACATGTTTTTCCTCCCTACTTCTCAATTTTTTTTCTTTATTTTTAATTTCTGGGTCTCCTCCTCCTTCTGGAGCATCGAGGTAGAGCAGTTCCAGCGTCTCACCAGGGCTCCAGAGGCTGCCCTCCAATAGATCATTATCAATGGATACCCAGTCATATAAGCAGAGCTTCGGCATGATGCCTGTCACATGGCACACCGGCTATATATACCTTAGCCCCATGAGCTAGATGGCCAGTCCAGCTTGGGCAGACCTTTGCCTTTTGCCCCTTTTATGACCCATCCTTTCAGTTGCTTTCTCTTCTATTTCTTTCTGTCCTTTCTTTTCCCTTTCTAACTCTTCTCTTCCCCCAGTTCACTTCCCATTGCTGTTACCACCCTTGTCTTGTCTTGTCTTCTCTTGCCCACCTCCTCGCTGTCATCGGGAGCCAGCTCTGTGTAGTTCATCAAGGGCCAGGAGCCAGGTACAGGGGGACCAGCCATGCCAGTGGAAAATGGGAGAAGTCTTGAAGCTTCAAGTGTCCCCTGAAGCCTTTTCTGGGAAGCCAGTATTTTGCAATTCCTAGCAGAAGCGGGGGGGCAGGAGATGTGTGAAGAGTGTTGGGAGGGTAACTAGTGTCAGCCATTTTTCCATAATTACTCCGTAGCACTAGTATGTCACAACCATTAATATCCAGCTCCTTCGGAGAGGTCATGTGTCATCGTCAAAACACCTTTGATGGTGGAAAAATCTCCAAGTCAGGGCCTGGCTCATATACTTCTAATTCATCATGTTCCCCTGAGGCATGACATCTAAGTGCAGGTGACTAATCCTAGGCAGACACGTTGTTAATGGGTTTGGCTGTGCTTCTGGGACGAGTGTTTTCTGAGCTTTCCTGTCTGCTGTTACGAAATTACTCTGAGTTTTGTTTTCTTAATTTTAGAGATGAAATCCTGTGAATCATAGGTGATTGCTGGGATCATTTACACAACCAGTGTGATTCTACCCCATGGGCACAGGTGCTGGAGTGTGTTTGGTATTATTGGTCAAGTTAACTTCCTCAGTAGAAATGCTGGAGCAAGAGAAGGGTCCAGCACTGTTTTCAAAAGGGGAATACTTTGGGTAAGCAAGGGGGTTTATTCTGCAGGCTTGGTCCCTTGGCCTAAGGGCTTGGATCAACCCAGGACTTGCAGGGTGAGTGAGGACAATAAAGGGACTGTGTTCAGGGGATTATTTTTCATAGCTCTCTAGCTCCCTTGTGGTTTCTGAGTAAAGTTTTTATGTGTTTGCATGTGAGAATCCTTTAAGCCTGTGTTCACTGTTGTACTTCCCCGCTGTCACACCAGGATGTAACTGGGAAACCACAGATGGATGGATTCTGAGGGGAATGAGACTGAAGTAGCTGGAGAATCTGCAGGGCTGACGCGCTGAATCTATCCAGGTCTAAGTGACCAGTTAGGTGTCAGGCACAGGGGCGGGGTGTACATACACCCTGACTCGACTTAGTGACTCAACTAAGTTGACTTAGCTAAGTTAGTGACTCAACTAAGTTGACTTAACTAAGTCAACTTAAGTTAAGCCACATCGGAGCATACACACTAAGGCTAAATCAGCCATAGCAGCTTCTACTGCTCTTTGTACACAAGAAGCCAGTCCCCAACGTCGAACCCTCTCTGCCTCTGCTCTCACTCTGTTAAAACTCCCAGCATCAGGCCTTGCTGCACAGTAGTCCAGGAATAGCTGCTCTGTAGTCGGCATACACTGGAAGGCAGCTGAGTCACAGACCCACTGGTGGCTCCTGTTTTGTAGCTTGCATGGCAGGTTATAGTTGCGAGGATTGCACAGTCTGTTATGGTGAGGGGTATTGGAGGTAATGGGTTACGCTCCCATGTTTTTGAGGGGACAGACACACAGAGTGTGCATCTACACGTGAAGTTAATACAACACAATAAACTCTGACGCATATTGTGCCGGAGTTTATTGCTTCTGGGTGCTGCATTTACATGTGCGCTCGGGACTGCAGCACACTGAGCCAGGCTGGAGCAGCCTTGGCTGGCAGGGGTTCCAGGGATCAGTCTGTCAGCCTGAGGCTGCGCCGACCTGGCCCGGCGTGCTGTGGACAGGCTGGTTGGGGCACGAGGGTGGTCCGACCTGGCTCGGTGTGCTGTGGACGTGCTGGTTGGGGCACGAGTGTGGTCCGACCTGGCTCAGTGTGCTGTGGACGGGCTGGTTGGGGCATGACTGTGCTTCGACCTGGCTCGGTGTGCTGTGGACAGGCTGGTTGGGGCACGAGGGTGGTCTGACCTGGCTCGGTGTGCTGTGGAGGGGCTGGTTGGGGCACGAGTGTGCTCCGACCTGGCTCAGTGTGCTGTGGACAGGCTGGTTGGTGCATGACTGTGCTTCGACCTGGCTCGCTGTGCTGTGGACAGGCTGGTTGGGGCACGACTGTGCTCTGACCTGGCTCGCTTTGCTGTGGACAGGCTGGTTGGGGCATGACTGTGCTTTGACCTGGCTCAGTGTGCTGCGGAGGGGCTGGTTGGGGCACGAGTGTGCTCCAACTTGGCTTGGTGTGCTGTGGAGGGGCTGGTTGGGGCACGAGGGTGCTTCGACCTGGCTCGGTGTGCTGTGGAGGGGCTAGCTGAGGCACGATGGTGCTCCAGCGCGGAGCTTGCCAGCAGGCAGCCCTCACACGGAAGCATCTTTGTGCCCCATCCAGTCCCGTCAGTGTCTATATGCGAGTTGCTGTGCACTAAAGAATGCCGCTGTAGAATAGTACTAACCTACGGTGGAGTTAATTAGTTTACTGCGGCCTAATAGGGCCAAACGTGTAGACACGGAGACTTGACTGCAGAACTAATTTAGGTAGCTTCGCGGTAAATGTCTCGTGTGGATGCGCCCAGAGTTTCTAAATGGCTCCCGGGTGATATTGAATGTCGATGAAGCGGTGCCAGGCAGCAGCACCCTCGTTAGCATCAAGTTGATTAATATGCAGGAAGTCTAATAAGCATATCCATGCTGGAGTATCCCATACGGATGGCACTGCTGTTTGGCACAGTAAATTTTCAGTACAGATCTGGCATAAAAGTACTTCCATTTTGTCTTGAGTTACTGGTTTCCTATCCTCTTCTGAACTAGTAGAAATATTGGCACTCCCCGTGGCGGTCGTAGGGTGTACGGTGAGCCTCCTGATTTGAATCTCCAGTTAGAAGTGGTGACGTGAGCGGCACATGCAGGTGCTTGGGTTCTGTACATTTGAAGTTTGATACCTGCTATGAGTCGCTCTCTCTTTCTGTCCCGTCTCCGACAGGTCTATAACCTGACTCAAGAGTTCTTCCAACGTGGTAAACCAGTCAATGCTGAGAGCCAGAACAGTGTGGGCGTCTTCACACGGAGTGTCGTGCGCAAGCGCATCAAGGCCGATCCAGATGACTCGGAGGCCATCAAGAAGCTCAAGCTAGCAATGATTCAGCAATATCTTAAGGTGCGTGCCTAAAATAAAAGGCAACTCAGTTATGGACCCCAGAGGCCTAGCTAGGAGTTCCCCATCGCTGGGGATTGGCTTTGTGTGTCCTTTCTGCCTTTGGCATGTTCTCTAGTTCAAGGTTGTATATTAAACTGTATTCAGAAGCTGAAAGCCTCTGTAACAGGCTGGCAAAAAGTAACGTCCCATCAGTTAGATTGAATTCTCTGGTGAGAGGTTATAACCCATAGTCCTGTCTTGTCGCTCCTAACGAGGCTTTCTCCCTGTGACTTACTAACAGTAATCAGCCTAATGGCAGCACCCTGGGCATCTATATACACGTTCCAGCCATGCGGGGGAGGGACAATGCTTTAATTAGAGCAGCTCTGGGAGCCACTGTAATTAAAGCACTCTGAGCATCTCATGTATCAGCGTCCCCTCACTTCAAAATGGTGGTGGGGGTGCTTTATCTAAAGCTCATCAAATGAACTTTAATTAAAGCACCCCTGCTACCATTTTGAAGCGTGGGGACACTGATACACGAGACACGGAGGCTGGCGGCAGCACGGAAATTCCAGCAGGCTCAATTAATCGAGTACTTACAGCGTGTTGGAGCAGCCTCCGCGCTCGTGTATAGGTATCCCCGGGTCTACATGATCCGGGCATGGTACCATATTTTCTCACATAAAGTGTAATCTGGAATAAGATATGCACCTTGTTTTTGAATGAAGAAGGAAAGCTTTCCTCGAGTAGCAGCAGCTAGGGAGCCAGGCCTGCTTCTTGTTCTGCTCTGTGCAGATTGTGTAAAGACTTTACTTTTGCTTTTACCTGGCTGAAGCTTAAGTGGCAGAAACTGCTGTTACTGTATTTCCTCGCACATAATGCACACTCATTTCCAGCAGCTGGTTTTCGGTGTGTGTTGTATATGAGAAAATACAGTGTCTTTATTTCCCTTCTGTCTCTCTCCAGAGCTTGGAAACCAGGACACTAACTCTAAAAATAAAATGCTATTGGAGCAGTCCCTGCAAACTAAGTCGCAGAGCAACTTAAAGGAAGCAGTGTTCATTAGAAAGCCAAGAGACAGTAAAGCCAAAGGTAAAGGGTAGAAACCCACATCCTAATTTCCTCCTCTATGCTTTGCAAGTGGATCTTGTCTACTTTGTGCCCTTACGGCTTCAGTTGAAAGCTCTTTGGGACTAGGACTTGTACAGCACTTGACAAATAATAAATGGTAGTAGTTTGACACATGGGGCCAGGTCCTACTCTTTTAGGCATATAAATGCAATCCTATTCCATCCTGTTGGAGTCCCTGAAAAAGCACTAGCATATCTGCTTTTCTAATACACTGTTCTAGTTTTAAGATTAAATCAGAGACAGCAGCAAGGAGAAGGACTCGCACCTTTTGTATTATCCATTTTTCAGGGATGTTAGCAGAATGGAATAGGTTCATACTTAGGCATCTAAGTCTCATTAGGTGCTTAAGAGGTAGAGTAGGATCTAGACCTTAAAAGTTTATATACCTCACAGAGTGAATAAGATCTGGCCTTTTATGTTTTAACTTGTCATATGAATTAAAAGGTTATGTAATAAGGAAGGGGAGGCACACAGCAGTCCTGTGAAGTAGGTAAGTATGTTTAATCCTCAGTGTCTTGCCTGCCATTCCCATGTGTCCACCTTCTTACCAATACGCTTCCCACCAAATTAAGAATAATGTTTTGGCTTTTAAATCGGTGTTTATAACTAGTGGGTATAGGACAATTATGGGACTATTTTTGTGGCATAACAAAATAAGAGCATGACACAAAGATGGTCCAATAAACACCAATTATTTACTATATTCACAGACAAATATCAGTGCAAAACAGCTTATAATTTGAGGGGTGCTTGGTGTTAATAATTACTATTATCATATATGACTACCACATTACTTTGGAGATTTTTTCTAATCCATGTGAATGCCTCTTACCATGTAAATGGCAGACCAGCAGCAGCAAAGATTATAATGCAGAGAAGACCCTCTACTTGGAGCAAACAAATATCCTTTTGTGTATTGGGAATTCTTTGCATGGCATTTTCCTCTGATTTATCATTAAATCAATGTTGCAACCTGGCCGCACCTGCAGGGGGAGGTGCGGTCTTTGGGAGATGGCATGGGATTAAGACTTTAGTCACTTGTGGTCATTAAAGAGTGCGTGGTCTTTTGGATAAGAGGATGGGTGTTAACTCTGGGATCTTGGCCAACTTCCACCCTGGATAGTTGTGTCTTTGCCTTCCTAGGAAGCCCTTCTGTGCATTTTTGCTGTAGTCAGAATGATGCAACAGCCATTGCTCATCCTCAAAATGGGAGAACTTCCTATAAACAGGGACAGGGAACTCCACAGTTTCTCCTGGAGTCCACTGGTGGGTATTCAGATGGACCAGTAGCAGCAGAAGACCTTTTAGATAAAGCCCCTATTTTTTGCAGGATGTACAATACATTACATTTAGAAAAGGACAAAACCTAAAAATTTACACTTATCTAAATCTTCTTTTAACTGTATCTTTAAAGTTTAAAGCCGTTTCTTAACTTGGTTGGGATCATGCAGGATGGGTTCTAGACCTAGCGCACATTCTGATTGGGGACAAAGCAATACTTTCTGTGGTGGACACAGGTTTTCAGGGGAAAAAAAAGACGTTTCATTAAATCCAGGCAAGTAGACCTGTGTGCCTTTACAGTGCCTCATTGAAGACAGTTCTGCATGGGCAGAGGAATATACCTGAATGGATCTGATCATGGAAATGCAGTCATAGATGGTGTATACTTCAAGGCAGAAGTCTGTTGTTCTCTGGCTGTGAAAAGCTTAGCATTACTTTTTGAACGTTCCTAAGTAATAACTTGTCTGTGTGCATTGGGCATCCCAGTTTATGGGAGAGCGGAGTCTGCCTGTCATGCAGTAACTAGCTATGCAAAGCCAAGTGTTTGCATGCCCCATGGTGAGAGGATGCTAAGTCTGCCAGACTTATAAACAAGGAAATTACAGTTTGGAAAAACCTCGGTAATTGGCAGCGAGGCAAGACAGATGATTGTAACAGTGCTTCTACATTAAACATTAGACAGAAGCAGTCACAGCTGTGTAATGATCATGAGTCCAGTAGTTAGAAACCTAGAAAGAGAAGGTGGGAAGAATGGAGGGCCGCCTCCCCCTGGTGTTCGCACTGGAGACCGATCATGAGACAGGCCTACCGCTCCACCCGCTTTGCCGTCGGATTGAGGCCTGATGTTTTTGCTGGCATTAACCAGGTGCTCCTTGAGCATTGCTAGTCAGACCGAACGAATCCAAGGTCAGTCTCCCAGCTTTGCCTCGCCTTCCCCCTCTCTTCTTATTTAGTTCCCTTTACATCAGACCGTGTCACGTAGCCACAGATTCATAGCTCGTTGAATGCTAACTGTTTTGTGGCCTGCTAAGATCCATACCGTAGACATAGCTTTGAAAACTTTGTTCAACTGAAGTCAAATTATGGAATAAGAATCTGCCACCATCAGTCAGGGAAATTTGAAAGTAGGCTGATAGCACAGCATCGATTCATCTTTGGTTTGAGCAACAATTATTAGTTGATCTGTATTTTGTGCTCCGTCTCTTCCCTGGCTGGAAAAATGCAGTAGGATGTCAGGATATTGGTTTAAAATCTTGGAGGTGATAGAACTTCCCATGCTTGAACCCATACAGCTACGCTGAGATATCAGAGTATTGCAGTAAGAAAGCATCCGATTGGTTTTCAGAGTTGATTCGAAGTAGAATAGGGACCCGTTTTTTCCGGCACTCTGGTGAGAAGGTGCTGTATTAGTAAATGTGGCATGGGTGTAGTGCAAGGGACTTGAAAGTCAAATCTCTTGAGTTCCCTTCCCAACTCACCCATTAACTCACCGTGTTGTATCTGTACCCCAATGGCATGGGTAGCTCTGTGGAAACATTGTTTTGTGTTACCTTCCACTAGGTGGAGAGCTGCGAGAGCAGTTCCCATAGCATGGATGAGGTCTCGCTCAGTGAATTCGGAGAATGGACCGAAATCCCTGGTGCCCATCACATCATTCCTTGTGGCTTTATTAAGATTGTGGAGATCCTGGTCCGGTCGATCCCGGAATCTGTTACCCAGCTCCGCAAGCCAGTCAAGTGCATCCACTGGAACCAGTCTGTCAGCAAGGAGATCGAGCGCGTGGCCGACCACAACAGCGACAGCACCGAGGAGGACAAGGGCTGCAACGTCTTTGTGGAGTGCGAGGACTGTGAGTTCATCCCAGCCGACCACGTCATTGTGACAGTATCTCTGGGGGTCCTGAAGAAGCACCACAAGAGCATGTTTCACCCCCGTCTGCCTGAGGAGAAAGTGATGGCCATTGAGAAACTGGGCATCAGCACCACCGACAAGATCTTCTTAGAGTTCGAAGAGCCCTTCTGGAGTCCCGAGTGCAACAGCATCCAGTTTGTCTGGGAGGACGAGGCGGAGAGCGAGAGCTTGACCTACCCAGAGGAGCTGTGGTATAAGAAGATCTGCAGCTTTGATGTCCTGTACCCACCGGAGCGGTATGGCCATGTGCTGAGCGGCTGGATCTGTGGAGAGGAGGCTCTGATCATGGAGAAGTATGATGATGAAACTGTAGCGGAAACCTGCACTGAGATGCTGCGTAAATTTACAGGTCAGCAATTGGCTTGTTCCTTTGGTGGGTAGATACGGAGCTGGGGAGGAGGGGTGGAGCTGGGAGGTGGAAGGAGGGAAATGCAGTAAAGCCGTTAGCAGCTCTGTGGCTGCCCAAGGGCTTCAGAAGCACCTGGTGCAGAGATGCATTTTCTCTTCCATCTCCCAGGGCAGCTCCTGTAAAAGCCAGTGTCTTTCTGAGACCATAGAAAGATGATGGTGACTGGCACGCTCCATCAGCTGATCGGTGTCGGTGCCACCAGATTGCATGCACTTTGCTTTTTTAGCCCCAGTAGCACTGTGCCAGCTGTAACAGCTACAGCAGCACAGTGACGGGATTCTTGTGCCCAGATCCTGGCATACATGACTGTCATTCCATTCACTCCATGGAGCTGTGCCAGTTTAGACCAGCTGAGGATCTGGCATGTGGGGTCCTATCTGTGACACCCGTTCATGGGAAGTGGCATCATCCTACATTTTTAGGTGTCCGTTCATGTTCTCAGGTACCCAGAACGAGATGCTCAGAGGTTCATTTTGATTTCAGAGGCACTCCGCACACCCCGGTTCAGTGGCAGTTGTTGCTAATCTGGTAGGATCACAGGTGTATCATACAGCCAACACGGGAGGCACCAAACTTCAGTGATTCCTGCCATGACCACCTGTAGGT